ATACATGTAGCCTCATTTCAAGTGTGAAAAGTAATATGTGGACCTAGTTCTTATATGTTTATTTTACTATTGTATCTTTGTACATAAAAACATACAATATGGATGCATTTGACCATTTCTTCTTGCTAGAAGAAGCACATAAGAATTACATTTTCCCATGTTATCGCACCTGGAATTTCTACCACTTACTGGCTGTCCAGGTTCACCAACTCCAATTGGTCCTGGAGCTCCTGTTCTTCCTTCTTGGCCTCTTTCTCCCTGAGTTAGAAATAATAGAATTTCAAGGTGAGTTTTTAAATAAATAATAAATATGATACAATATATGCTAGAGATTTCAGTGAGGGTGAATAGCAAAATAGCAGCCAAACTTTTCATAGAAACATTAAAAACATTCTGATGGCATTGGCTTGAATGTGAATTGAAGTGAACAAACTGTCCTGAAATATTCACCAGATCTTTTTGTCTGAACACAACCCAGCATCTCCTGCTTTTTACAAACTATAGCATATTAGCTGGCCAAATGGACTGTATTGGTTACTGAGCTAGCCAAGTTAACATGTGTGCTATTCCCTGATACTATCCTGAAATGCCATTCCTTCCTTGTCTCCATTCTGCCCAATTTCACCTCTCCTTTATGCTGTTTCATGCTTGATCTCCTTTAGAAGAATCCTCCAATAATTTTGCCCATAGAGAGTCTACCTTCTCTGGAATGTCAATGTACTTATTGCTAAAATCTTAGCCACAGTGACATGATTACATTCAAAGAACACTGTCTTGAACTTCTCCCTTTCAGTTAAAGTCTTATTGTCCCAACCACACTGTCAAACAATTTAAAATCAGTACTTCTGTCCTCTAATGTGTCCTGTGAGGTGCAGAGCACCCCAGGAGGGATGCTCTCTAGTGTTCTAGTTCCCTACACACCTTTCTACCAAATTTTACTCATTCAGTGTCATGAGCCCCTTGGTTTTTGCTCATTTAATGTGAATAAATGTTACTGTTAAAGTATTTCACTCCCCAATAATTAATATTTAAAGCCCAAGAAACTCAACAGAACCACATGTGCATTCTGAGAGGATGGGCATTTGCAAATAAGCAAATTTTGCATTCCAACCAAATGAAAACATACCTTGATTCCTCCTACAGTAACTGCCCCTTACCAGGATATTGTAATACCTGGGCATCTAAAATGTAAGTAACTACTGCATGAAAGGACTGAACAGAGTTTAAATTATACTTTCCTACTTCAACTATAAATTCAATAGTCATCTATAGACAAAGAAACAAGTACCATTACCTTGACACCTTGTTGTCCAATACCAGGAGCTCCTGGAGGGCCATAAGGACCAGGAGGACCTGGCTCACCCTACAGTAAAAAAGAGGGATATGGTAGGTCAACTCAACAGCACTTTGTGAACAACTCTTAGATGTATAGCGTAATAGGAGCTTTCAGGGCAGCAGCAAAACCTAGTACACAGTCCCTGCCCGCAGTCATCTGTAGTCCAACTAGAAAGACAACAGGCATTAGAGATAAATTATCCACTAGGCACAGAATGGAACCCCTAAAACACAAAATACTTTTAGCAACCCATAAAAATGTTTTCATTTTAAGTTTTCAAATCATAATAAAAATAAACATATTAATGAATATGTAATAGTGGATCCAACCTGGATTACATTTGTCTCTATACCCACTTAGTCATATAACCTACTTTAAATGTTTTTTTATGGAGTAAGGTGCCCAGAAAAGGAACATCTTTAAGACCCATGAAAGTCATAATGCAGCCTTCTTTCACTCATTCAACAAATCTTTGTTGAGGGCTCTGGCAGACAGATTTTGCTCCCTTCCCAATTGTTACCTCTGTTGTCTTTGCTATTCAGGCAAATGGTAAGCTACACTTTGTTTTTAAAGATGTAGGATGAATGATAATTAGTCAAGTGCTCACTCAGTCCCATTGTCACTGATTGATCTAGCTTAGTCATGTGACTCATTTCTGACATGTGAGATGACCAGCTTTACTGGAAAGAAAAGAAAACTGCAGTGTTAGTTAATTTTCTGTTGCTGTAATAAGATACCATGACCAAGGCAATTTATAGAAGGGTTTATTTGGCTAATGATTTTAGAGGGCTTAGAGTCCATAATGGTGGAGGAGACATGGTGGCAGGAAGTGGCCAAAGCAGAAAGCTGAGAGATCACATCTTCAAGCAAGTGCAGGAAGCAGAGAGAGACTGGAAATCCAGCAAGGCTTAAGAATTCCCAAAGCCTTCCCCCAGTGACTTGCTTCTTCCAACATAACCACAGCTCCTAAAGGTTCTATGACCATCCTGAAACAGCATCATGCACTGGTGACCGAGTATCTAAATACTTGGAGCCTGTAGGAACACTCATTCAAACCACCACAACTGTTTTGCCTCTGCCTTATCCATTCTATGCTGGGATGTGGTAGCTTTTAAATATGACACAGCAACCTAGGGTGAATGCCAGAGCTATAGAAGATCATGCATAAGAAACGTAGAAGAGCCTGGCTTCTGGACCGTTTCACTGGGTTCATTTTGTCCAGGACTAGCTTCAAAGGTCCTGTTTACTTATCAATGGGAGTTTTTATGATGTAAGCCTATATTAGTCAAGACTTCTCTTACCTAAAGTCAGAGCATTTTCAACTAAATAGAGCCTACTCTGTGGCATGCCCATAAGAAAAACTTTGGGCATCCTAGAACTGGACAGGACCATGGCACTCAAACTTCCATTTCACAGGAGAAGAACTTGACTCCAGACAGGTTACCCAGTCTGCCCAACTCACACCTCATTGTTGCTCAGATGGACTTCCTCAAGTAACTCAGGCTTCTGGCCCTGGGGAATGACAACAGGGGAAAGGACCCAAACTGTATTTTTATAATGTTGTTTCTGTAGTTATCAAAATAATCTATCTTCAGTGTAGAAAATTTGTCACATAAAAATTTTAATTACTAATCTAAAATTATTGTTTTTTGTATGTTTCCTTCCAGTTTTTTATATATACACATGACCTTTAATTTATGCTAAGGAAGATTTCTACACAGGCTTCATTGATATTAAAGATTTTGCTCTTCATGCTTGCAAACAGTAAAGTAGAACATAACCTGAGACTAGCCTTCACTCAGGTTAAAGGAAAAGAAAGAATTTTTAGTAATGTTAAAGTCTTGATTTGCCCCAGAGGCTTGTGATTTTGAAGAGGTTGCCTAGCAACCAGAGCACTGTCATGTTGACATGGAAGGATACCACTTTGCAAAAGTCTGTTGACTTTCACCAATTGCAAAGAGAAAAGAAAAGGAGCAAGAACAAAGGTCAGAGTCAAAAGAACTCCCCCAAAATATGCATCCAGGCTGAAAATGAATTAAAACAAAGTAAGCCTGTCTAAACATTAGGTATCAGAATTCATGAACCTTTGCCATTTAGGTAGATTGCATTCCCAGCTTCCTGCTGCTCAGGCTATTGGAAAAGTCAATCTGGCAGATAAATAGACTAGATATTTTTCTTTTAAAATTCTAGGATTGTTCTTCTTTCTCTGCATATATTAAATCTTCAGGAGCATGCAGAAGACCATTCTTATTTTATATGTTCTTGCCCATGAAATTTCTCTCTTTATATCTGACATGAAAGTTCATACGAAATTTGACTGTTTTCTTAATCTCAAAGTGTAAGCACTAGAAAAGATTCAGCTTCTTAGAGATGCCAAATTCTCTCTCTAAAGAGCATTTCCTTACTGCTTCCTTTGCTCTCCATTCAAGTTGGGATATCCATGTGTGGTCTATGAGCTCCACATGAGTAGCTGTTCCCATCACTCCATAAAGGGACACCATCTCTGTACTTGGTATGTGGAGAAACATGAAATAAGTATAAAGAAATTTAAGACATAGTTCTTAAGCATTTTAAAAGCCTAAAATTATCATTTTTTGCTAAAGAATGCAAAGGCTTATTGACAGATAATACAGTACAATTTTCCCAGAAAGCAGCACCTATAGAAAGTACTAAATACAAGGCTGGGTGTCTGGTTGAGGTTGTTGATGTTGTTTTTGTTTAATATTTCATTACATTTATTTATTTACCATGTGTATGTGTGGGTGCACATTTTTTTTTCTAGCATGTATGTCCCAAGGATTGAACTCAAGTCATCAGGGTTGGTAGCAAGCACCTTCTCTCACTGAACCATCTTACTGACCCTTGATGCTGTTCTTGAAGTGGCAGAGAGATGACACACGTAGATACCTGGAATGGAGATATGCCAAAATCCTAACCATAGTAGAATTTTGATCACATTTTATTTTCTGCTTTATTTCAGCATTTAGAAAATTCTCAAATGTACATGTAGTACATGGTAAAAGTTCAAACAGTGCTATTAAATAGCAAAGATATTCACCTAAATAAACATGGCTAGTTGTTCCAAGATAGTCTTTCCATTAATATTAGTGTAAGATAACCTGTTCTGTTAGAAAGACCAGCTACCAAGAAAATGTTCACTCAAAAAATGTAGAGAAATTCTATGAAAAAGCATCTATCTAATTTTTTAAACAACCTTAACAGTTTAAACAGATATTTATTGAGATAGTATTTTAGCTAAATCTGCCTTGCTTTGGAAGGTAATTTAGAAGTTACTTTGTTAGTTTTGTGCTCAAGTCAATTTTTCAGATAATACTTTTTTTTTTTCAGTCTTTTTGAAACAGGGTCTCCCTGTAGCCCCAGCTGTCCTGGAACTCACTATGTAGACCAGGCTGGCCTTGAACTCACAGAGATCCACCTGCCTCTGCCTCCCAAGTGCTGGGATTAAAGGCATGCACCACCACGCCCTGCTTTGGATAATACTTTTAAAACATTTTTTTCCCTTTAATATTGATTCCTTTAAATTTAAAAGACTGACTTGAGAGATAAACCATTAAAATACAGTAATAATACAAGCCTTAAGCTCACTTATTCTATTTTGTGCCTTTAATATTTGAATTTTTGTTGTTCATGGTGGTGATATTTTGAGTAATGGAAGCTTTACCTGACTCGGTATTTATCTGTAAGTTTCATTAGAAATAAACCACTGCAAAGGTTGGTAGGGAAGTTTCATCATACTATTGACAAAGAATTGATTCAGTGGTTATACTGAAAAGTGTGAGACAAGAACATCCATAGGATAAGGAGTCATTTTACCTTGAAGCTCAAAAGCTCCCCTTTGTTTGGGTCAAGATCAATAGCAACATAGAGATTTCTTAGGACTATTTCAAAGGAGTTGTAGGGTTCTGAAGATTGCAGAGAGATTGCTTTTCCTTACCTAAACACAGCCCTTTAGCAAAACATCTCACAAGCCATTGCTTAAACATTACAAGAGCCTGGCATCACAACATAAGATCCCCAAACCAGCACAATTAATGATCACTCATTTCCATCTTCCCTTCCTTTCCTACGTAAATTCCTGAGGTGGTACTCATTGTGAGAAGAGACTCGGCACTCTGCTTGGAATTTTTTCCTAGGAATTCACCAACATGGCACAGCCATGGAAAGAATCCAGGCTTGATTCCTTTCCTGCTATTATTCCTGCCACCTCTCACCAACACATATGAATATGCACACATGCACACAGATTGCGTACCTGCAACACTAACTTTGTTATTTCTCTACTTTCGTTAACCACAGGAACCATTTGCTAACAAGTAAGCACAAGAAAGAACACTAGGTTAAGATGCATAACTTCATAGGAACTCTGTTTTGATGCCCTCCCTGTGAATGTGAGTCTGAGCATAGGTGGGCAATGAGGAGGTCAGGTAGACTACTGTGGTCCTCCTCAGAAATTAAGAATACCCCTGCTGCTCTGGGCCTCAAGAGCTGAAGGGATCAATGTCAAATGAAATCTATTAGTTATGAGCATTGCCTTGACCCTTTATATACATTATCGCATTTAATCTCTGAACATTCCTAGGAAATGAAGTTTCACCCCATTTTAGAGTTCCATTTTTTTATTCATATTTCATCATGCACAGAATCACAGAGATGGGTCCATTTGCTCTCGTGGAGTCAGCTCTTTCATTTGAACTATTTGATCTTGTATGAGATTCTAAAATGCAACATGAGAATGATTATACGTACTCTGCAGCATTCTTGAGAAGATTCAAAATACCATCTGTAAAATTTCTGTCATAACCAAGCCCACACAGTAGCTGTTTAATGTATATAGATTCTACTGTTATTAACTAGGGCTTAATTCACCAAACTGATACACAGTATGGTACTCAACAAATGTCTGGTGAATAACAACCTATGCCTGTAAAAGAGTATCAGTTTATATAATCAGAAACATATATGACATTACATCCATACTTTGCAGAAGTTTACAGTCTGACTGGAGA